AAAGCACTATTTAGTAGGTGTGATACAGGAATCTGACTTTTATGGCTGAGGACTAATAAATAGATTTGTACAATGTCTGTCATCTCACTGCGTACTTTCCAGTGTTAAAGACATTGGCTTCTCTTTAAATAAGTTTATCTTATTATATAGCATTTTAAATTTCCTCACTGTATTTAACTAAACATTTTTCTTTGCTCCAAATCATATGCCTTCAGGGGATGCCTAAGAAAACAATGTAATTTGATCAATGTTTTCAGAAATTCAGGGCAACTTATTAAAACACAGAACATTTCACCATCTACAATTTTAATACTTTTTGAGCTACCTGACCTAGAAAAACAAACGGGTGGGCTCAGGGAGTCACCAGAGAGTAGATGGCTAAGCTCCCTTGCAAACATCTGCTTCTGGATGTTTGCCTGACCGCAAACTGTTCTCTTGCCACTGCAAAATCTGTTTGAGCTCTCTGACCAACCACCCTCATTGTCTACTCCACAGGGCAGCAGCTACCACTCCAGAATCCTTTATTCAAGGAAACAAATATATGAGGAAATCTAGTAATGCCAGAGATGACACAGATATTGACTCTGATGGTTTGTAAGTTAACAGATATGTATTTGTAAACATGCAAGATTTTGATTCAACTTTGATGATGAATGTTTCCAAAATAAAACCACCTTTTCTGGTTAACATAAAGCTAAGTGATAATTGTAAGCTAAGGCTAGGTACAAGAAATTTAATGTGATTTCCATCTCTCTTATAGTTACAATAGCACAGGCAAAAATGTCGTTATGTTCAGATGACCTATGGGGGAGTTTATACATACATATTGTCAGTCGTTTAATGACAGGGAGGGTTTTGGAAAGGACTAGCTGTTAAAAGGTTATCATCTGAGCATGTGGGCTCATGTAGAATTCCTTGTCTTCTTACCAATGGTTTTAAGCTGACCACTAACGTTTTCTACCTAAATCTGTAATTTAAAATGTAAAAAATAACTTCACTCCTGTCTTTTCCAATCTGGATCATACTATCATAGACTCCTCAAATTATTTCCAATTTAAAATTTTGAAGAAAAATATAGATTTATTGGAAATGGCAAAGATAGTACCAAGGTTCCATTTCTGAGTCCCATCTTGCCAATATTTACAGCTTAAATGACTTCTTTTGAAAGTACAGTATCAAAAGAAGGAAATTGACATAAGTATAATATGTCATGTATATTATAGTTCTCTATTATAGGCATGTATTTCTGTGTCTTTATCAAATATGTAGATTCTTGTAACCAGTAAAATAAAAAAAACTAACCTATTATCACAAAGGTCTTGCTAATGCTGTTTCTTTGTAGCAATCACCACCTGCCTTACCCAGCCCCCCAAACCCCAAGTAAACACTGCTGGTTCTCCATCTCTATAATCTTGTCATCTCAAGATTGTCTAAAAATATAAAACCTTTGAGATGTGTTTTCACTCAG